GTTGATAAATACAACTTAATAACCAGTTAGGAAATAAAATAAAGTCCAATAGTACTATTATAATCTATGATGGTGGTAGTGACAAGGGTCCTTATCACCTAAGCTGTCGCCTTCTCTGTTGACTTTATTAATTACCAAAAGTTTCAAAAATACAAATTTGAATTCTCATTCTATAAAAAACAAAAAATAGGAATTTCACATTTTCCTAGTAAAAGAAAATGAGTCAATAGTTGGGTATATTAGCACCAGCACTGCCATATAGTTTAGCTAATAATAATAATAATAATAAATAATAATAATAATAATTAAATAATAATAATAATAATAATAATAATAATAAAATTATTACAAAAGAATAAACAAGAGAAAAAACAGACAAATAATTATTAATATTGCAATGGTGTTCGTGATTTGAATAAAAACAGTGGATTAGCGGCGCCAAACCAACGCACTAAGCATAATAAAAGCACAGGTGACGATATTAATGGGGACCGCAAATCCATACTCAATTAATTAAGGCACATAATTAATTTGAGCTTATCAGACTAATTCACTAATCTATAAGGGCGTCTCCAATGGTTGGCTATTTGGCTAACTATTATGACGTGGACAGGGGAAAAGTAGGAGAGAGAATAGTCACTAGCGACGAACAAATAGCTTATCTATTTCACGTAGCCCAAGATCATGTGAGAGGAGTACGTGGGTCCAATAGTGTAAAATAGTTATTTTTCTTATTTCTCACATCCACGTCAGCTGACCATATAGATAGTAATAACTATAACCATTGGGGATGCCCTAACATAATTGCCTAACTGTAGGGACCTCTGTCCCGACACATGTCTATATCTTGGATTTGTGGTCCAAATTTTGTACGGTTTTTGAGCTATCTTTCCTTAATTAAAAGGGTTAATTGCATATAGAGTAAACTGCATTTTTCGTCGTTTATAACTCTAATTTTTAGTGTAATTATAAATAAAACTTACCTTTTTCAACTTTTTAACAAAATACCAAACATTTATTATGTATTGCAATTTTGTCTCAACATCACTTTCAAGCCAAGCCCTACTTACATGTCCGATCGAAAATTTGACATGGCATCGATTAAGATAGTGTGGCACTCAAATTCACGCCACACTTATTTTTTCGTCCTTTTAATCGAATTTTGTTCTCATTTTGCCCCAATTTTGCAGTCCACTTTTATTAGAAAAAAAATCGGCTCTCGATTTCCGATCGATTAATTTATCGACGATTCACCTTCGAAAATCCCGGCAACATCATGGCATGATTCTTCACCACAAAAATCGAGTTCACCATATGCTTGAGCTGGAAAGTGATCTTGAGACAAAATTGCAATACATAATAAAGGTTTGGTAAGTTGTTGCAAAGTTGAAAAGGTTGAGTTTAATTTGTAATTACACTAAAGGTTGTGGTTTTATACACAGTTAACCTTAAATAAAACCCAAAATTAGAGCATTATTGACAATGGGCTTGTTTGGCAATCGGTTGTTAGCAGTTAGCTGTTAGCGGATCTTATTAGCTGTTTTGACCAGCGGATTAGATTAGCTGTTTTGATCATCGGATTAGATTAGCGGATTATTACAAAAGTGTTTGGTAAATTAGCATTTTGATATTTTTTTATGAATATAATTACTTATAATTATGTTTGTGTATTTTAAATATTTTTAGCAATTATAATTATTTTAAAAACTAAAATTTATGTATATTATTAAAAAGAGTGATTAAACAACAATGAATATTTAATGTTACAATTTCTATACAATGTTTATGTTCATAATTTTTTTATCACACAAATAAGAAATGACTAAAATAATGGACAATACTATAAATTTGTAAACATTGTTATCCTTCTCCCATCATTTGTCTTCTTTTATTTCCTTTTTTTTTTCGTGAGCCAACATTTGTCTTCTTTTATTTTTATTTTTTTCTCCTACCATCCCAACTTAATTATTCTATTTGACTGAATAATTGTCCAACATATATAAATATTGCAGAAGAAGCTAACATCAAACGCTGCAAATTGCAGCGTTTCTAAAATCAGTCTTTTCCCTCAAAAAGCCATTTTAAACAGCTGATTTATCAAATAATTTTTTTAGCTGTTTTAGATGGTCAAACAGCTAAAATGGTTTCAAACGGCTAAAAGCTAGACAAAAAGCCATTTACCAAACAAAGCCAATATGTTGACTTGTAAAAGCTTACACGTTGCAATTCTGTATTTTAGATATGAATGCTTGTACATATCGAATCAAACATCAATTGAAGAGTTCATATGGTTGATACTCATAATAGGTATGCAAATGAATAGAGTGAGTTGGGCGCTGAAGTCAAAGCTCAATTCGAGCTCGTAATTCGCAGACTAAGACTTCGGCTTGTATTTTGTAAGTTTGACTGCTCGACGAACCACTTAATTAATATAAGTTTAATTTAACTAAATAATCCATGTCTAAGCTGAATTCGAGCGAAAATTAAGAAAAAGAGTTATTTGAATAGGATTTTTTTCATTTAAATTCAAGCCGAACTCAAGTAAAATTCAAGTGATCGCAAGTTTTTCTACATGTTTTCTAAGTCGAGTTTGTCGAGCTGGAGCAGCATTGAAAAACTCGAACCTAATTGGATAAGGCTAATGCTCGACTCGATTCGGTTAGTTCAAAATTCCAAATGCAGCACATGAATTGGACTAGTCGACTAGTTAAGATTTGAAGTGAAAAATTCAAAACTAGTCCCACAGGTATAGGAGGGTGACATTTTTTGTCCCAACGGTGTCCAGAAAATATCAATAGTCCAGCAGCTTTTAAATATGATTAAAAAAAGTACGACATTATAATTTTCCGGCCCGGAAAGCCACGTTGCACACACGTGGCTCTTTTTTTTTTACACGCTGGTCACATTCATATGATGTGGCTGAGTACAATGCTAGTCCCACAGGTTTTGGGAGGTGACATTTTTAGTCCCAACAGAATCCAAAAAAATATTAAATAGTCCCGCCACGTGTGTACGATGTGGTTTTTCGGGCCGAAAAATTGAAAAAAGTCCTACTTTTGATCATTTTTTAAAAACTGCGGGACTATTAATATTTTATAAATTCCGTTGGGACAAAAAATATCGCCCCATATATTTGTGGGACTAGTTTTGAAATTTTCCCAAATTTAAGTTAGATAGTTTATTTTTACAAACTAGTTTACCATGATCTATTGAAAAGCTAGTTTGAATAAGTGCTTGCCAAAACTTGGTACGACAAGAATTACGAGTATTATAAATGCCATTTAGTAGTATTGCCATTTGCTATCAACTCATACTCTCTCGTTCTCGTCATATCCAAACAAATAAGCAATTGATAAATTATATGTAACATATTTTAGCTCGACCTTTCAATGGCCCTAGCCTGTCGTGTGACGAGCAAGCTGGGGCCTACAATAATCAAATTGCACTCTACCAAGCTTTACACAAACGAACTATGTTAATTTACATATGTAGTACAATTTTTGAAACGTTTTTCATAAACACAGAACTTGTAAAAAAAATTCACTTTTGTAAAGATCCTTCTTTAAATTTACTTTAAGTTTAATTATAGTTTATAATACATTTATATTACTGGATCTCGTGACATAGCTAAAAAAATCAAATTCATATATCAGACATATACTATAAATTAAACGTCAAATAAACATTGAAATCTTGCACAACAAAAATAAATCAAAACATGTGAAAAAAAATTCGCCAAAAACATAACTAACCATATATATAGACATGGACACAGGGCGACCCGGCCTGCCTGTTCGACCAAAATCGATTCTGAACCGGCCCGTGATCAACTGGCCTTCAACAGAGCCCGCGATAGACTATTGCCTGTTCTAGCCCACTTATTTTTAATTTTTAAACCGTCGAGCCAGTTCCAAAGAGGAACCGGAACTGGTGGTTCACTGAAGCAGCCCGTGCATATTGTCGAGGCAGCGGCCCGAAACTGGGAAATGCCCATGTTTACATGTATATAATGAATCAGACGGCGAGATTCCCGTTGCCACTGAGAATAGTCGCGTCGTCCCGCCTGGAGCCCTAACCTGCAGTATCCTTCGCCGCCGCTGATCGACCACGGCAAGAGGCCGATTCAATGGCCCCAGGTTGGAATTAGCTCCGAGCCCCATGTTTTTGTCCAATTTTACACCTCAATAGGGATCCGCATGCCCTACTTATTCATTGCCTGATCGGCAGACAGCGACAATGGGCGACAAGAAGTTAAGTAAAAGAGGAGTTGGGACGGGAAAAAATCACCATAACCTACTAATCTACATCCACCGATTTTTTATTACACGTCGTTATCCACCATATAAACCTCCGATCGCGGCTTAATATAGAAGAGGGAGGAAGGAGAAAGAGGGAGTTAACATATTTGATATATTCATTAAAGAATGTTAATATAAGTGATAAATAAAAATTTGGATTAATATATGTACAAGTAAAAATTGTGTGGGGGTCCTTTTCTCAACAAACTAAGCAGCATGTGGGCTTATATGCTTAGATGCCTGGCTCAAATTATAGAACACGGGCCAGCTCAAGCTCTCGTTTCATTAGAGGAAGTCACATTATGTTGACTGTAATATAAATCAAGGACCAATTGACGTAAAAGAAAGATGATATGTGAGTGACAACACAAATATTCAAATAACAAACACGAGAGATGCGATCAAAATTGTTCGGTCGATATTACTATTATACCATCAATCATCGGACAGACGAACATTAAAGCCAGTCGCACATTACAACACCACAATCACCAAAAACAGATCAAGAATGCATGCAGAGGTATAATAAACGGATTACAAGCAAGTGCATTTTTTCCTCTTCAAAAATTTAGTTCGCGTGCCGCACGATTCTTTGATATCTTAAAACGTATATATAAACCTTGCTTCGAACTGTATAAATTATCACCCACTCACAACTTACTGGGTATAAGGTCGTTGGTGAAAAGGCTTCCAGCCACCGCCCCATCTTGGCCGTTCGTATCCAGCAAGCCATTCTTCTCAGCTATGAATTTGGCAAAACGAGACCCCTTCACGCTTTTCCCATTATCCTGTTCGGAAAATTTAGGATATAACGGTGGCATCAGGGCCCAAACGGACGAGAGATGTTTGTTCGGTTTGTCAAGTTCTTCTAAAATCCTTCGATCCTGCATATCTGAGTAAACAAACAAGAAAAAGTTAATAACTTTATCTAGTTGACATAGTGTGAAGAGATTTATGTCTGAAGCTGTTAGGCCAAACTAAAGAGTTGAGGTTTTTAGTAAGTAACCTTTGGAGAAGTTAAAAACAGGCTCAAGAGCAGCACAAGGGATGCTGAAGTTCAAATGAGGTATGACAGTTCCTCCACCATGCTTAGCGTTACTGTGGAAAACAATTCCATTCACAAAATAAACTCGAATAATCAACACAAACACAAACCATTCACAGCTAGACGAATGTATTTAAAATGGATGAGATTAAAAGAAGTATTTTAAATAACATCAGCGGAAGCCAAAAGTATAAAAATTTCATAATAACCGAATTATGTATACCTTGTGACAAGGCCAATCATGTGGCCGTCCGAATTAACAACAGCACCACCACTACTGCCGGGATGGACAGCAGCAGTTGTTTCCAGCATGACTGGAAACTTTTCGTCCGAATTAAGCTGTAGTGACTGAGTGGCTTCGATTACTTTAGCTATAACGCCAAGGCAGGAGGATGGAAGGATGTCTGAGAAAAGAAAAAACAAATCCGAAAATTGCGAAATTAGAAAAATCTATATAGAATTAAGTATAGCATCATCGAGAGGATTCAACGTGGTATAGTATATTAACCTGCACCCACTTGACATGATGCAAAATAAAGATACATGAAATATTTCTAATTAAAAAAAGAAGACACGAGATATATGAAATATTTACCACAACGAGGTCCAAACAGCCCATGCCCGACCACATACGCCTTTGATCCACACGAAGGGTAACCAAGATCCACAAGAATCGGGCAGAGTTGATCAGGAACAATATCGAGCTGCAAAAGTGCAATATCCAATGGGCCTTTGGAAATATACACTACTCTAGCATCCGTCCACATCCAAGGATCCATAGAATCTAACCGAACACGCACATTTCTGTGGTTCGAAATTGTCGAGGCATGGCCGGATAATGCCCTCTCATTGATAACCAAATCCGGGCTCGAATCTTCATCATTGGTGTTCGGAATTATTGCAACCTCGAACTTAGTTCCGATTCTGTCACCATTTGCAGAGGCTTTACCAAACCTCCACGGCTCGAGGAGGTGAGCGTTTGTAAGAACCAAACCTTGTTTATTCAGCAAGACACCAGATGCCCATGAGCCGTCATCGGTAGTAATAAGACAAATTGACCTCATTGTCTTCTCGACTGGGGATGGAATTCGGGAGTTTTTGCCCGAGCAGCCATTGGGTAACATATTCTCCATTGAATTCAAATCTCCATTGTCATAATTTATTCCTTTCCAAGTGCTGTGAGGGTCCTCCTGCACTAATTCACTGCAAGCAGATGCAATAGCTTCCCAAGGAATCACCACCTATAAAAATATTTATATATAATAAATAAATAAAAAAAAAAAACCTAACGCGCTTTGAAGCAGATATGACTAATTCATAGATGAGAAAGATGGGCCTCTGATTCTTGAAAGAATGTAAAATAATTAGGAAGAAACTTGTTTTCGAAGAAACGCGATATTAAAGATGCATATCGACAGACTCCACCTTGCAAGGATCAAGCGATCCAGTAGCGAATAATATCAATCATTCCATATTTGCACGCGAAGAAAAAAAAAAGGAAATAGAATTATTGAGTCCAATTGGAACTTAAGACCATAATACAAATTTTAAATTCACACGGGTTATTTGCAGATCAGAGATTCCACAAAAACAAGCCATAAATAACTGGTACTGTACTTTCACTAAATCTTAACAAGCAACTAATTCCATTATGATCACCCCATGTAAAAGATATTAAGAGGATTCGGCAATCCATACCTGAACTTCAGTACCACTATTTTTTTGCCTTAGAGGTCTCATTAGAAGCCCAATAAACTGAGCACTTTCACTGAAAACTGGGCTACCTTCCATTCCTGAAAAAATCTGAGTTAGAATTATATCATAGCAAACGATAAACAAAAAGAGTGAGGACTAGTTGTCCGCACCGGGAAGGCACCTAATATCAGCCATCAATAAAGATCTTGTGGGAGAACCGGGTGGATAGCTGTTGCCGATTGACCCCACCGAAGTACTGTCGGTCAATGCAAAATTAGGGTTACATTGTACAACGTCCAATTGTCAGCCACCTTTTGATATTCATAATTTATAGGGCTAATGGACTTTAATAACAGTACTCTGCCAAAATGAATTTATACAATGGGAGAACCAGAAAGATAATTTACCTGTTAAAGAAGTGCAAAGGTGATAATATGCCAAAAGGAGAGCCCACGGCCAGAAGAAGATCCCCCCTCTTGGGAATAGATGTTTGCAACTTGGGGAAATCCTGAGAGAAAAAAAATTAAGTAAAATTAAGTCATTGCCAGTATAATAAAACTGAAATTGTCTCAACAAGATAGCACCAATATTTCACTAAAACTTGCCAAAATTGTGCAATTACAATGCCGAGTGGTCAAAAATCATAGTACCAAAGATAACTTGGAGGGAATTGCCAGAAGAGCAATCCTTGTAGCTGATTGCCCTATGAGATTCAGATTGCTCGACTCCATTCTCGCCGTGGACCAGTGGCTCGGAAAGGGTGATTCTTGCTCAACCTGAAATCATCAGTTGATAGTTCCTGTTACATAATACACCATATATGTAGTCAAATTTTGTTATGCATTTTCAGAAACAACGTCCAACTTTATCTTATATAATCGCATAAAATATTAAACGCAATATTGCCGGATAAAAAAAAAAGTTTAAATAAGTAAACCATAGAATATTACAATAGCTGAAATGGAAGGTTGTAGTCAAAAGGATTCATGAGGCAAAAGTTCGCTTCGGATGTGCAGCGTTGTTAACAGATGGCATGCAAAATTTCAAACTCATTGGTCAAAATGGCAAGTATTTACTGGCAGTTAACGAATTACGACCAACTGAAATCATTAATACAACAAGCATATACCAAAGTTAAAGAGGAAATAAAAGATCAGTGCATAATAACGTTTAGAAAAATGCTACAAGTACATAATAAATGTACATAGAGGTGTACATAACACTCACATGGGTGGGGTCCACTTGATTTTTTATTTTTGGTGGGTCCCACTCAATGTGAGTGTTATGTACATCTTTATGTACAATATTATGTACCTATACCATTACTCCTAAAGTTTATGCTTCAAATAACGTTTTATGAGCTCAATGAACGTTCAGCATAGAACAAATTCAAAACATGGAGCAGCAAGAAAAAATTTCACATTATATCATCCCAGAAAGTAACTAGACGAGACTTCGAGCAGCCATACAAACCACCCCTTTTTTTTTTGCGTTTACATGATAAGAAAAAATGGCAGGACGTGAATTTGAGAATAGAAATTGTAGATTGAATGAAATATGTTGAAATTTAACCTGTCCACGAGAGCTGTCAATAATTTGCTGAGGACCACGACCATGTGCAGCTAGAGACCAACCAACTTCCCAACTACTATCCCGTGAACCACAAGAAGCTTCGATTAGTGATTGGACAGCAGCAGATGATTGGGGAATGTTAACCTTTGGACATATTAACAATATCAATGTCAAGAACTTACGTGCAAAGCGAGAAAAGACCAAAACTGACTAAGTCAGCAATCCTAGCAATTGGCTAATAACTTACCATCTTCACAAGTTCAGCCGGTATCCAAGGTAAAGCCTCCATACTACCATCGGCCATAGATTTTCCCTAATCATCAAAGGACCACACACCACATCAGTGAACAAAAGAGATTGCAGTAAACAAAAAAATTTTCCAGCCGCAAGGTATACCTCCATAAGTATATCAATTTGAACTCCTGGTATCAATTGAGATTCAGTCTGCAAAATATAAGAAATTTAATGTGAACTGTGCAAAACCCAACAAACTACAGACATAGTGAAATATTATTCCTTCTGCATGAGTATATAAACATTCCAACCTCTACTTTGCTTTCTCGATATTGTTGCAGCAAAAAAGGTTCAATCACAGAGGCTGCCGTCAAAACCAAAACAGGATCTGAAGATTTCGAGTTCAAACCACTACCCAAAGTAGCACTTTCTTTAGAAGTCGGGAAGATCATCCCCGATGCTGAGAGCATCGTTTTGCCCGAGCTATGGAGATGCAAAAATTGGATTACAGTTAATTAATGAGTCGTATTACTAATTCAACTTCAAGCTGTAACACGTGCAGATTTATATCATGGCAATTAGAGGTACCCCACATTCAAATGACCTTAAACAGATTATGTAATGTATGATGAGATAATTTTTGGTGTGAAGGGACTCACTTGTAATGGTGGAAAGCATGATTTCGCATTTTCAGACCCTTGGGGTCCTGAATTTAACAACCCAAACATAGAGCACGATTAGCAGAAACATATATACTCTTCAACAACAAAACTAATTTAAAGAAACTTCAGCCCAAATGTCAAAAGCAACCAAACATCAATTCAAGAAACGCCAAGAAAGCATCATCTCAGGAAACTCAAGGAAATTGAATCAAAAATTTCAAACGCCAGAAAACATCATACGAGTACATGCTCCGAAACCTTAGTCTTGGATAACAAGAAAAGTAATAAATACACATAAATAAAACAAGCAAGAACATAAAACAGAAACTCACGGGGCCTTGAACTCGGACCATTACAGCAAAATTGCGCGCGATATCCGCAACTTCAGGTAGACCCATGTCGAGAAGCTCAAAAGCGTCTACTGATGATGAAGTTGCGTATACTCCTCGAACACCGCTACGCCCTCTGATCTTGGGATTTCAAACAATCGATCAATCAATAATTCGATGTGAATTGCAATAAGAAAACTACCTTAAGCAGCCGTAGCATGATTCATGAACTAACAAACAGTGATGGGTTTGGCAAAATCGCGATTCTCGAGGCATACCGGGGGCAGACGGTGGCTTGGGGTCCTCGCCAATCTTTATTTTTTGGAATCTTCTTTCCGTCTCACTGTAAATATTTTTCGGCCCATTGCCATTTGATGACTCGATATGATGCAAGAAAGTAGACGTTAAACGGTAGTTTGGTATTTATTTATTGGGAAATGATACGGTCCCGTTATAGAATTATTTCGTCTGAATTTGTAATCGTTAGATCATTGTGTAAATAGATGAATAATTAATATTGTTGAACAATGTAAAGTAATGATGGTTTTTATTTTTTAAATTATGTTGATAAAGATTGAAGAGTAAAAATAGTAATAAATTAGTAGTATGCTTTAAAAAATATGGTTATCAATTTTAGTTCTAATTAAAAAATCTACTCGGCGAGACAAAATGCGAAGTAGTATACTTCAAATCGACCGGTTTTCCATTTGCTGAAGAGCTCTTCGATGTCTTTGGAATATAGTAATCTTTCTCAACTCAACTTGATTCGCTCAAATTATAATCACTTGCAAAAGGTCGTGAAAGTTCTCTGCGTCAATACTGCGACGATGGAGTTAGTGAGAGCTCGAGTATTGTGTCTATAGAGTGTATGCGATGTATGATTTATAAATTTTAACTTTATTTATCCCATGTATATTGTTTATATATTCACATTCTCTTGTCATCCAAAATATTATCTTCATTCTCTTGTCATCCAAACTATTATGAGTATATTCCTTATACTTTTTGGTCTTATGTGCCTTGATCGTTATAATTAGCCTTTACTTGGTTTTATAAATGATTCACTTTTAATAGTCTATTTGAGGGCGTTTAGAGTCTTTTTTGAGTCTCTGGTTTAAGTGGCTAGCTTGTGATATGATTATCTATCAGTAAGTGTTTTGTACGTCAGAGTTGGGGGTATGAGAACTTTTAAGGTGTCCCCGGGTCGCAACTACACCATACCTATCGCTTTTAGGCTCTCGGTCCGACTCCCCTGTACACCTTCTAAGGTCTCATACCCCTAATGCTTGTTTTATACGCTCCTATGGTCACTCGAGCTTAAGGAGCTACATTTTAGGCATTTATTGACTAAGTAATTGAGCTATTGGTTATACATGTATACAAAATATTCAAGATGGTTAGTATTATGGAGTGTTATTAGGAGAATATTACATGACATATTTGTTGATGGTCTACTGCCAAAGGTTATAGTTGATATTAATAATGTGGTTAAATCGGGGCTGCAACATATTTTATGGTAAAATTAAAGCCAAGAAATCGGAGAGAATGTAAACGGAATCATGCAAAAGAAGTAAATATGAGGTAAATAAATGAGACAGCGATATTGTCCATTTGTTTTGGAGATCGTCAAACATAAATCTTTCTCTAGAAGTTTATGCTGAAATAGTATATTACATGGGTAGTATGATTGCATATGCAATATATGGTGTTTTTTGCCATGCAATGCATTTGTTGTGGGGATGAGGAGATGAGGATGATGATCCTAATGATAATGAGGATGCTAATAATCATGCCCTTTCCCTGTTCGAAGAGGTCGAATTTATACACCCAAAAAGGCGAGGATGCAATAAATGTTTTGTTGCTTTGTGTCACCTAGGGTGGTGCCGCGTGTATTCATGCAAGGACTTTTCGTTTGAGGATGAAACACTTTGGCACTGGTTTTATCTGCTTTATTGGTTCTGCGTTCACATGCAGTAGAGATCTTCAATCTTTCAAGGAAAGATATAATATCATTCAAGTTTGAGGGGAGATGTGATATTTTGATTTGAGAAATTTATATGAGAAACATGGTATCTTGCATATCATTTAGTTGCATGTTAGGTTTCATCGCTTTATCTCGTTTATCCCTTTCGTAGGATTTTTGTAGTGGTAGTTGATTTTTTTTATCTAACTTGATGAGTTTCTTGTGCATATTTTGATATACAATTTGGGTATTATGTTTTAAGTGATGAAATTTGAGAATTGATGAATTTTATATTTGAATGATTGGTTGATGCTTTTACGAATTTATACACTAATAATACGATGAATTCATTTTAGAGACTATATAAATATGGTGTAAAATCACATATGATTGATAGTCTCGATCAATGAATCAAAGTCCTACAAACACACAAGAAAGGACAATCATATCTCTGCAAGTTAATCTTGAAAATTATCAATAGCCATCGAGCAAATAATATAACCAAGTTCTAGAATTTTAAAATATGAAGAATGTTTTATCAAAATTATGGTCAATACTTTCAATTCACAAAAAACTCACTAGATAACTATATATTCTCACTCTCAAAAGTGTATAGGAAAAATAAACGCTCAAGTCAATTCAAAGTTGAAGAAATTACCATATGTTTGCTAATTGTCTACTATTTCCTCCACTTATTTGTGCGTTCAATTCATGAATAAAAAAAGACTTCTTATTTGGTTGTAAAGTAGGCTCTTTGGTTACGGTAAGTGTAGGAAAAATATGGATAAAAGTGATGAAAACTTGAGCATCTAGAAGTACAAAACATGAACCTAACAACTTCATCACCTATCAATCATGATCAATCTCAACAAACTTATATCATACCCCCATTTTTCAACCAATACTCCAAAGCCATCTAAGAAAATCCAAAAATCCAACCGAATCGCCTTTATTTAAGTCAATGTTATGTTATACAATACTTATACATTTTTTTTCTTTTTTTTTTTAACTCTTTCAACCTTTTTTTTTTTTACTTAAACCAAACAAACTAAACAAAAGAGGATATTAGTCCGGTACAACTCATAAAAAAGAAGGAGAACCAAATAGGGAGTGAATCACTCCAAACACACGAAGAATGAAACCTTGGTCTATACCAAGTAAACTATTTCTTTATGCGAAGAGACCGACCACCTCGCTATGTTGTGAGCTACTCCGTTTTGATCCATTGATAAATATTTACACCGACCACAATATAAAAGAGACATATGGCCTACAACGTCAGCGAACACCCCGAATAGAGGGTCAAGCTCATGACGGAGGGAGATACCATTGACAATTCTCATAGAGTCTGATAAGACCAACTAGATATTTAAGCCTAAATCTGTCGCGACGCGCAATCCAAACCGAAGGGCTAAAGCATGCGTTAGTAAAGGGGAAAATGAGCCTGACAAACAAGATGAAAAAAAAAGACTAAACAAGCCTTGAGGAATCACGAATCCACTTACCGAGGCCAACTCCAAATCATGAAATGTCGCGTCACATAGGAGTGTCAAACCATTGCTACAATTTCCCCGACTCCTTTAGACGGAGATGGAGTCGATACTTGGACGTAGCCCAGTAGCTAAAATCCTGAACTAACAAGATCAAATTCCTTCAGCTAGGACGCCACAAATTCCCACACTTGTTCTGCACTCCTATATTTTAGCCCCTTACGACAACGATTACGTTCAAACCAAACAAGCCATAAACCCACCGCGAAGAAATGAAAATCATTGCCCCGACAAAAGTGACAAAAAAAGAAGCATAAAATCACCCCTCCATGCACATAAGATATCCCACCATCCAACATGCTTCCAAAGGAATTTCACCCATAGACAATCCAAAAACAGGTGATAGTTAGTTTCCCTACATCTACACCTGGGACACAAACCCCCTAGGATTACATGTCTTTTGTTCACATTTTCACTAGAATGAATCGCTAAAAGGGACAATTTTCACATGAATAGCTTTATCTTGGCCGGGAGGCGAAGCTTCTATAACACTTTTCACCACTTTGAGCTCGAGTTGAAACTTGATTCTGTGGAGCCCAAATGTAATTTTTTTAGAAAACGATATCCACTACGAACCGTGTACTCTCCATTACTCGTAAAATGCCACACAACATCGATGGGAAGAAAAGCTCATCGCAAAAAGTCACAATTCCAAGTTTCAGTTTGGCCAATAGAGTCTTGAACATAGTCTAACCCCGGCACTACATGGGACAAAGGCCTGGACCTTGAATTATGCGGCATCCACAGATCTTGGTAGATGTTGACATGAGATCCACCCTCTATCCGCCATTGCATACCCCCTTTAATAACTTCATGCCCCCATAATAAACTTTTCTATAAGAAAGAGGAGTACATGACGGAGCTGCAACCCGCCAAAAAAATACCGCTGGAGAAAAGTCACCGATTCTGATGGAAGTGATCGGTCGTGTGTGCCCCGACGAGGAGAATCCGTTCGTTTCCTCGGGTTGAAGTGAATGGCCAGAAAATTGGAAAAGTTGACTGGAGTTAGACCAAAAAATCTTAGATCCAAAAACTTTGACCGGAAAAATTGATGACCTTCCCCTTGGAATTTTTGCTTGAAATTTTAGGAGTAAAACGAGCACAAGAAGAGCTTCGCGATGATGCAAAAAAAAATTGTGATCGGAGGACTTTGGTCGGCGACAGTGACCGATGAAGATTAGGTGTCGTAGACTCGCCTCGACGAGAGGATTCTATTGGTGCTCCCAGATTTTTGGTAGCCGTCACGAATCACCGGAAAAATGGATTGGAAGGTCAAATGATGAACAAAATTCACTAGATCTGTATTGTTTGACCAACAAAATTGAAGGCTACCCGGTGAAATATTTGCATGAAATTTTAAGGGGAAGATCACCTCAATGAGATCTACATAGTGATGTAAAAAATTTCCAATCGGAGCATTTTCGTCGATGGCCGACGGCGGCTGCAGCCGGTGGAGATAAAAGAGGTGCTGAACAGTTTATGGAATTTTTCGGTCGGAACTCCGTTTGTCATGATTGATTTTTTGCTTTTTGAATGGGTCCCACAGACGACGACAATGTTGGTAAAATGGACATTACCCAGGCTCCTTCAACTCGGACGAGTTCCATACCTGCAAGAACCCAACGCGGGGAGATGTCCCGACGTCGGGCCTCCGATGCCTAAGTCAACACTCGTCATAAAGGCAATATGAGAGTGTATTAATGAATGTAGAGAGTAAGATTTTGGGATATCTTACCCCTCTCTTATAAAGGAAATTTACCTTAGAGCATCTCTAATGAGAACTGTTGACAGTAAAAAAATACATTATGTGGACACCGTCTTTATATTATTTCCTCCAATGCTTTATTTTGTAGGCCATGGCATGCTGACATGGCGATAACATCGTTACGCCTTATGTCTTCATCTAGAAAGTTTGTTCAACAGACACATCATCAAAATAGTAGGAGAAACGAACTAGAAAATGGGAAAAAGCCGCCAATTTATTTAGTTTATTTTCTTGTAGGTGAAAATCATCTTTTTAAATTCAAATAATTAATCTATATGTTGCAAATAAAATTTTAATTCTAATATTTATTTTACTAATTACATTTTCAACATTTTAAAAAACTAAATTACTTTATTGTTTATTTTATTTCGTGTTGTAAAAGCCATTTTTTAAAAATAAAATAAAACTGAAACACTTAACAGTCGTAATTAAAATTTTATTATCTTTTCCAAATAATCTTTTGTTGGTGTGTTGATATGTTTTATGCTTGAAATATTACTTAGAAAAAAAAAAAAAAAGCAGTACGTATGTTTTGTTATGTTTTATCCAATGAATTTAGTTAGTCTTTTAAAAACTAATTTATCATTTTATTTTGTTTATTAGTCTTCTAAAAATTACTTTTCATTTTATTTTCTATATTATAAAATAAATATATGTAAGAATAAAAGTATGCATTGGAGATGGAAATCAGCCCGTTGTTGTTAAGTTTGTGGACAATGCTTTCACACGAAATAACTATCCAATTGTTTACCGCCATGTGGCAGAATTTGTAACTTTGAGAATGAGGCATTGGAGATGTTATTAGTGTCCAAGCTGGGCTTGACCAATACATTATATTATGTGTCATAATCCATGTGTAGACTTATTTCCAATATATTCCTCCATAATCATTAAAATCGGTCTAGTATTATATCCTATATCAATTTTATAAAATTAATTGTTCATAATCAACAAATATTGCAAACACAATATTATTGCTATTGATATAAGATTAATATGTAAGTTAATAGTTTATATTTATATCATTCATTTTTACAAATGGTAAAATTTATAAAATATTATATGCTCATTATCTAACTTATGATTTTAAATATTACATACACACATAAAACATATAAAACTTTATTTGCATATATGTAATTGCACATGGTCGAATACTAGTATATAAGGTAAATGGTAATATTTTTTTTAAAATTATATGACATGTAAATTAATTAATGATTTATTATTAAACTAAAATATGTCATTTTATCTTTGAGTAATGCTACTGTTGGGTTCGATATACCGTACGGAACAGAGTTCACAGCGGAATTTAAAATTTTGTAAGTATTTATCTTATAAATACTTATTTCGTACATAAGTATAACGATATTACGAAT